TACCACTAGCTTATAGAAATGGCTGACCCACAAACTAGGTTCATTACTTGTGCTCAAAAATGGGTGTGCAGGCACAAGTGCATTGGCAATGGCTCCGACGCACTCAGCTGCAAGCTCAGCACCAGGTAACGTCGATGAGACGCCGATTCCGTATCACATCAAGCCAGTCACAGGAGTCGTGAAGAAAGGATTTGGCGGTCAAATTGCAGTTTCAACAAACGAGAAGTGAGGAACGGCTTCGCTTTGGCAACTGTCTGCAACCGGCAGTCAGGAGTTTTCATGAGAGTGACGCAGCAGCAAGTGACAGTGCGCGACTGGATCCAGCTTCTGGCCAGGGTCCCTGGCTGGCTTCAAGAAAAGTCCTGGACGGAGGCATTTGCAGCAACCACTGGTCTCGAAGGCGGGTGCTTGACGAATCATCTAGAAGCTCTGCAGATTCTCATTACCAACAGAGCGTGGCCTACGTTCCAGCAGCTGTGTTTGGTTTGGCCACGGACGCGTTTTGGCATGCAACAAAAATCAAGCACTGTTTGGAGGTCGGTATGTTGAGCATGCAGTCCGAGTTGAGTAGCCAGCAAATTTGGACAGGACGAAGTCTTCATTTTTTTTTTTGCGCTGCCAACAGGCCGAGGTTTGCTCGTTTGTTTCGCTGCTGCAACGCTACAGTATTCTGCGGTTCGCAGTGACAAAGAAGCTCGGCACAGGTTTTGCGCGCACTTCACAGCAGCCTTTGTGCAGCCAGGCGTTGCGCGCAAGATATTTATTGCATGGCAGCAGTGTTTGTGCAGTCTCTTCATGCTAGCTCTGTAGCCTGTAGTCTCATGTGCAGCAGACCGGCACAGTCTCATGTGCAGCAGACCGGCGCATCGAGCTCAGCAGCTCCGGGAGCGTGCTCAAATTTGAAAAGGCAGCTGAGGGAAACCAGCAGCTCGACAGATGCGAGCCCCAGGAGCGACGCGGCGCGTCGCCGGATCACTCCGCATCTTCGAAAGTGCATTCTGGCTTCGTTTGCCATGGGAGGTGTGGCGGCCGCGGAAGAGTTTGCTGGCGCCAAGTTGGGCGACGCTGAGCTAGCTGGACAGTGCGTGGCGGCGGCAAGTCTGGCTGACATTGGACGAGCTGGAAGCTCTGACGCACGAGACTGGAGGCTGGCCCGGAAGCAGGGCGCCAAAGCGGCGGTGGCGAAAGCTGTAGCTGCGCGCAACGCTGCTGGCTACGCTCCGGCTTCGCTAGAGGTGTTTGAGATGTATCAGCGAATGCTTCCAGAAGACGAGCGGTTGCAAGGCAGCACTCGCGGCAGAAGACTCTGGACGCAGCGGTTTTGCAAGCAGTGGAAGTTCGTGCGTCGCAGAATTGGTCTGCATCAGGTGGAGCTGACTTTGGCGCAAAAACGCGCAAAGGCACCTTGTCTTCAAGTCTTTTTTTTGGTGTTTTTTGTTATGCCTTTGCACTTGTATTTCGTGACCTCTAAATCGATTGTGGGCTAGTGAAGATTCAACTAGGCAGGATGGCTTCGTTTGTTTTTGCGGTGTTTGCAGTGGAGTTGGGTCTGTCAGGAAGCTAGACTGCGCCAGCTTTTTGAGCTTCTTAGTGACGCCAAAAATGGGTACACTTTTTAGCCCCAAAAAGAGGGTCGTAATGAACTACCACTAGCTCATAAAAATGGTTGACCCACAAACTAGGTTCATTACTTGTGCTCAAAAATGGGTATGCAGGCACAAGTGTATTGGCAATGGCTCCGACACACTCAGCTGAAAGCTCAGCACCAGGGCAAGCCTTTGCTTTTGATTAACATCGACGAGACGCCGATTCCGTATCACATCAAGCCAGTCACAGGAGTCGTGAAGAAAGGATTTGGCGGTCAAATTGCAGTTTCAACAAACGAGAAGCGAGGAACGGCTTCGCTTTTGGCAACTGTCTGCAACCGGCCGTCTCTGCAGCATCTCATGCCTTGCTTTTTGCTCTGCAACACTCATCGTTTAGCGGTTCGAGTTCGCAATCGCCTGGTGTTGCCAGACAACTTTGTGGTGTGGCGATGCAAGTCGTCGTGGAGTAATGGCGCCTCCATGATGCGCGTGGTGAGCCGCATCAATCGAGTGTGCGAGCCGTACAAAGAATTCTGCCAGCCAGTGCTGCTTCTGGACACAGCGAGTGCTCACATTGCGCCGGAGACTTTGCGCTTTGCGAGGGCATGTTGTTTGGAAGTCGTCATCATTCCAGCTGGCATGACGCCGCTGCTGCAGGTGGCAGACGTGTTTGTCTTTGCCTCTGTCAAGCAGCGTTTAAGTCAGGAGTTTCAGCGCATGAGAGTGACGCAGCAGCAAGTGACAGTGCGCGACTGGATCCAGCTTCTGGCCAGGGTCCCTGGCTGGCTTCAAGAAAAGTCCTGGACGGAGGCATTTGCAGCAACCACTGGTCTCGAAGGCGGGTGCTTGACGAATCATCTAGAAGCTCTGCAGATTTCTCACATTACCAACAGAGCGCGGCCTACGTTCCAGCAGCTGTGTTTGGTTTGGCCACGGACGCGTTTTGGCATGCAACATTATCAAGCACTGTTTGGAGGTCGGTATGTTGAGCATGCAGTCCGAGTTGAGTAGCCAGCAAATTTGGACAGGACGAAGTCCGGTCATTTTTTTTTTGCGCTGCCAACAGGCCGAGGTTTGCTCGTTTGTTTCGCTACTGCAACGCTACTGTGAATGAACATACCAGAGACGTGTCTGCGGGGGTCGCAATTCATCCCCTAAAACAGTGTTGCAGAGGAAGGGCCGACGGCGTCCGCCAAAGGCGGGTCCTGGTCGCCTAGTCCCACTGTGAGTTTCACTGGCTTGGGCGGATAGCGCGAATCCCAGTGACGCTGTTGCGCGTCAAGCGTCTGCCCAAGGCAGGACGTGGCGAAGCAGGCTATGGCGCGAAAAGGATTTTGTTCGGAGTAGCTGTTCAGGCAAGGCTTTGTTTTAGGCTGCCGGTAGCGTTAAGCACTAGGTGCAGGCACGGTTAGCAACAGCAAGCGGTCGGACAGCCATTTCAAGCCTCGCCCACTGCAATGAATGTGGAAGAGATGAAGTGTCGTCGCACGGATCTGAAGCGACAGCTTCGTGAGCAGTCCAAGTTGCTGAAGTTGGAAATGCGGCGTCTTGTCTGATTGCTTTGTTGAGTATTCATTGTTAGCATTGTGAAAAGCCTGTCAGCCAAGGAAGAGACGTCGTCTCATCAGGGCTGCGGGGCGCTTGAGTGCCGCCGATCTCGAGTGGTTGATGTCGCGGCAGCAGCCATCCACGACCGCGGCGGGGCAAGACGACGCTCCGGTGGATGCGCAGCCAGCTGCTGAGCCAGGACAGGCAAGCTCCGCGACGGCAGGGCTAAGCTCGACTGCCGAGGCGGCAGGGCGAAGCCCAGCTGCAGGTGGGCAACATTCCACTGCGGACGAGGCGCAGCCAGCCGCCGAAGAAGTTCAAGTTGCCTCTGATGTCGAAGACTATCAGAACGCAGCTGAAGAAGTGGACGACACCACCAACAAATGAGGCTGCGTGTCAAGCACATTGCCTTATTCTTGCGCAAAGCTCAGCCAAGCCAAGCTAAGCTGTAGCAAAACTGTGAGCTGCTGCCTTGTGTAAAATGTGAGTCGTGTGCTGCAGGATGCCACTGGTCAGGTGTAACGCTACAGAATGCTGTAAATAAAGAGGGGGGGGGTATCTTTTTTTTTATATAGCATTCTGTAGCGTTACAGCTGGGTTCGTGCCCGACATCACGAACAGTTGAAACTGTAGTTGTGCATGTGCATGACCGCAAGCTTTTTGGCCAGAGCAGTGAGCCAGCTACCATTTACCTGCTCCAAGCAATGGCATGCCCATTTTGCAGCATGAACATAGCGCACGATGCCAGTGAAGCTGGGATCGCAGCGGGTGTGAAAAGAGCCTTCAAGATGGTGCACCCGGACCAGGCAGGCAGGCTGTGGCCACCGTGCGGTCCACTGCATTATGCGAGTCCGCTCAACTCAACCCAGCCGAAGTTTGTGGAGCTGGTGCAGCAAGCGCAAACGCAATGCAACTGGCTGCGCTGCTGGGCCATTGAGAACGGGCTGGCAGCTGTGCCATGCCCGGTGGCGGCTGCTGCCGCGAGCGCCCAACGGCAGAGAGTTCGCGAAGATCGGCCGCCGCAGCTGCCCGGCCAAGCGGCAGCCTCGAGCCAGGTGCCAAGTAACTTTCGTCGGCCGCCTGCTGAGTATTCACGAGCCAGCGTAGACCAGACCGAAGATGCAGCTGCTGCTCAGCAAGCCTGCGGGAGGACAGCTGAGAGCCAGACCGAAGGTCAGGCAGGTGGTGCGAACTACGATCACACATACCTAGCTGAGCGTCTACGACAGCACCAGCCTGCCTGGCAGCCGACAAATGGGTATGGCTATGATTATGAGAGCCGCGGCAGGCTCGCCCGCGTGATCTGTTTTCTTCGCCTCTAGTGTTTCCTTCGGCTCCGCCAAGCTTCCCAACTCCCGCGGCCTCTCCTTGTGCGCCGGCTGCGCCGGCTCAGCAGCAACCAACCTCGTGTTTTTTCACGCAAACACCTGCTGAGCCGCAGCCGCCGCCCTTCGAGACAAAGGCGAAAGCCCCCTGCGTGCAGCCGACACATCTGCCAACCAAGGCGCCGCCGCCATGTGTGCTGCGGCAGATCCCACCAGGCGCCGTCATGAAGTCGCCGCCGCCCAAGCCAACTTCGGCCAGACGAGCGGATGAAAGAAGCTGCGCTCAACATGATCCGCCGGTAGGCGAGTCGTCGGATTTCGTAAATGTGACGACTAAAGATTATATGATGATCAACATGACTTCTCGGGATTTGACAGAGACGACAGCATTTTATTGCACCGCGGCTCGGCTGTCATAGAGTTGACGAGGGATGTTTTGTTTTTGGTTGTGCGAGACGAGCAGTGGCCATGTGAACCTGTAGCGACCAAGGACAATCCTCGCTACTACCGGTACGCGGTCGTCTGCCAGCAATGCCGCGAAATGGATGTCACCAAAAATTGCATTATGGGCGACGACGACTTGGTCCATCAGGAAGACATGGTCTCCCGAGGCTGGCGCCTGGGAGACAAACGCACCGGCAGCGTTTGGGCGCGAGCGGTTTGCTCGGATTGCTTCCTCGGATTGCCAAGCCGAAGGCTAGGTCAGTAGCTCAGCCGAAGGTTGCTCCACACGGAATAGCTAGCGGAGAATCGGTCCCGCGCAGCAGAAGTGCAAATCGAGCACCGAGCCATGAAAAGAATGAGAGTTGACGGTCCGTGCGCTGCGCTTGGGCGGTGTTGTCTTTCACACGTTGTGTTTGGCAGCGGCTCGCAGGTGTTTTTGGCTTTAGTTAGTTAGTTGTTTTGCTCGAAGCAAACTGCAGCATGAGCGAACATCGCGCTTTTTTTCCAGTCAGAGAGCTAAGTACCTGGGTGGGTCCGAAGTGGACCATCAAGTGCAGAGTGACCAGCCGGTCACAGCTGCGTCAGTTCCAAAACAAGAATGGTGCTGGACAGGCTCGAGGGAGTTGTTGAGTCTTCGCATATGTTAGGTTTGCAGTGACTGGTTGAGTTTGGTAGATTTGGTCAGCCTGCAGGGAATGGTGTTCTCAGTGGAGCTGCTGGATAGAGAAGGAGGCGAGATTCGTGCGAGCTTGTTCAACGAAGCTGCGGAGCAGCACTATGATCTCATGCAGTGCGGAAGATGCTTCACGCTGTGCAACGGCAGCGTGCGCCCTGCCCAGAAGAAGTACAGCGTGCTCAAGCATGGCTACGAGCTGGTGTTCGACGGCAGATGTCAGATACACATGGTAGACGACGACGCTGACATCGGAGCAGTGCGTCTCGCCGTGCAGAAGATTGCTTCAGTGACACAGATGGCTGTGCCTAGCAGCGTGGATATCTGCGGAGTCATCGTTTCAGCGGAGCACCCTCAAGAGTTTCAGACCAAAGAAGGAAAAGCTTTAGTCAAGCGAGAGATCACTGTGGCAGACGACAGCGGCCACAGCGTGCTGATTACCTTGTGGGGTGACAGAGCCAGATTAGATAGTCGCGAGTTTGCCGGCAGCCCCGTGGTAGCCCTCAAAGGAGTTCAGGTCAAGGAGTGGATGAGCTGTCGAAGCGGCTCCATGGCGGAAGCAGGATCCATGATACTCAACCCAACCTTCTTGCCAGAGGCGCAGCGGGTAGCCGCCTGGTGGTACAAGGGAGGCAACCAGCAGAGATTGACCTACATCTCACATTCGAGCAGCCCAGCTGGTAGTCTTCGACCTCCACAAAGAGCGACCTCGGTAGAGATCTCAGCGATGTCGCAGCAGGCTGTGAGGGAGCAGCAGTCCTATACGCTCATATGCCGACTTGGGTCGCTACAACTCCGAAAAAAAACCCACGAGGCGCGATGTTTTTGTTTGTTTATATTTCTAAATGTGTATATATATATGTATATTCATCTACATATATAGAGAGAGAGAGAGAGAGAGAGAGAGAGAGAGAGAGAGAGAGAGAGAGAGAGAGAGAGAGAGAGAGAGAGAGAGAGAGAGAGAGAGAGAGAGAGAGAGAGAGAGAGAGAGAGAGAGAGAGAGAGAGAGAGAGAGAGAGAGAGAGGGAGAGAGAGAGAGAGAGAGAGAGAGAGAGAGAGAGAGAGAGAGAGAGAGAGAGAGAGAGAGAGAGAGACAGAGAGAGAGAGAGAGAAAGAGAGAGAAAGAACAAAAAGCACAAATGCAGTTGGTGTGTCACGCATTTGAATTGGCAGGCCATGCCTTTGTACTACATGGCCTGCCTGGAGCTGAAAGATGGCGGCAACCTGCAGTGTAACCGAAGAGTTGACGAGACCGGGTACTGTCGAATGTGCCAGAAGTCGGGGAAGGCGGGATTGCGCGCGATCATTTTGCGTTTATGCAGTTGTGCTGCGCAGGTGGGGCCGCGGCTGAATGTGCGCTGCCGTTTTCAAGATGCTTTCGGATCATGCTGGGTCACAGTTTTTCACCCAGCTGCCGAGAAAGTGCTAGGTTCGACCGCCGAGTCCATTGTCGAACTGAGCCAGCAATCTGAGGAGATCTGTGAAGAAGCGCTCAAGGACACATACTACGACGAGATGTTCGAGCTGCAGCTGCGAGCCAAGCCGGACACGTGGGGTGGTGAGGCCAAGACAAATGTGACCTGCGTGGGAGCGCAGCGGATCTCCAGTCGAGAACATTCCCGCATGCTTTTAAAAGAGATCCACCAGCTTTTGAAGTAGAGCGGGAGTAGGGGATAGCGTTGGGGCGGCAGCCATGCTCCGCGTTGGGGCGCGGAGCGTGTCAAGCCGAAGGCTGGACAAAGGCTGTGCATTTTGCGACATCGAGGAAAAACATTAGCGGGCAGAGCGACAGTTTTTGCGGCAAGAAACTGAAATTACGAAACATTTTGAACACATTTGGTCCTAACCGAATGCAGCTGCGTGCGACACGCGTCACAAACGCAACGTGTCGGCCGCTTGCGCGCAGACACGAAGCTGAAGTCGATCTCCGGAGTCCCGGCCTCGACCGGTTTCTTCGCAAGCTCCATGTCCAATTTGATCCGCTCGGATAGCAAAGGCCAATGACGAGCTGACAACTGCAAGCACAATTACGGCGCACAAGTCCACAGCAAACAAACAGCAATGCTGCCGCAAAAACTGTCGCGCTGCGGCTAAGACAGTTTTTGCGGCAGCATTGTTGTTTGTTTGCTGTGGACTTGTGCGCCGTAATTGTGCTTGCAGTTGTCAGCTCGTCATTGGCCTTTGCTATCCGAGCGGATCAAATTGGATATGGACCTTGCGAAGAAACCGGTCGAGGCCGGGACTCCGGAGATCGACTTGACCTTCGTGTCTGCGCGCAAGCGGCCGACACGTTGCGTTTGTGACGCGTGTCGCACAAAGCTGCATTCGGTTAGGACCAAATGTGTTTCAAAATGTTTTTTAATTTCAGTTTCTTGAGGTCTTCGATTGCAAGGGATTGATGTCACATGTGCCACGCTCAGCTGCATTCGGTTTAAAGCAAGCGTGTTGCAAAATGCGTAGTAATTCCAGTTTCTTGGATCTTCGATTGCAAGAAGTTGATGTCACATGTGCCGCACTCAGCTGGCTTCGGTTTGCATCAGATGTCTTTCCACATGTTTGGTTATTTCAGTTTCTTCAGGTCTTCGATTGCAAGAGATTGATGTCACATGTGCCAGACTCAGCTGCATTCGGTTTAAACCAGATGAGTTTGAAACTGCTCCGTAATCAACGCTGAGACTCCTTTCGCTCCGCTCGTGCTCCAGCGCTTGTGCGCTTGGGGCGCGGGGGACGTTGAGCGCTTGTGCGCTTCAACGGCCTGGAGCGAAAAAGGTTTCGTTTTGTTTTTCATTCTTTGTTGCAGACAGCGTCTCGGGAAAGCGATGTTTGGGTTTGCTTTGTTTGTTATGCCATTGGAGGTGCAGAGAACGATCCTGAAGGCAGATCAGGTCGAAAGCCAGATCAGACTGGACATCGAGCCTGTCGAGAAGATCCGTCGAGGCAGGGCTTCTGCATGTCGACTTGACCATCGTCTGTGGATGCAACCGGCCAGCAGGATGCAACCGGCAAGCAGGTTGCATTTGTGACGAGTGTGACACTCAACTGCATTCGGTTTGGACCAGATGTGCTTCAAAATGTTTCGTAATTCCAGTTTTTGAGGTCTTCCATTGCAAGGGATGAAGTGACATGTGCCGCACTCAGCTGTATTCGGTTTGGATCAGATGTGTTTCGAAATGTTTCGTAATTCCAGTTTTTGAGGTCTTGCTTCCATTGCAAGGGATGAAGTGACATGTGCCGCACTCAGCTGCATTCGGTTTGGACCAGATGTGTTTCAAAATGTTTCGTAATTCCAGTTTTTGAGGTCTTCCATTGCAAGGGATGAAGTGACATGTGCCGCACTCAGCTGCATTCGGTTTGGACCAGATGTGTTTCAAAATGTTTCGTAATTTCAGTTTCTTGAGGTCTTCGATTGCAAGGGATTGATGTCACATGTGCAACGCTCAGCTCCATTCGGTTTGGAGCAAGCGTGTTGCAAAATGTTTCGTTATTCCAGTTTCTTGGATCTGCGGTTGCAAGAGATTGATGTCACATGTGCCGCACTCAGCTGCTTTCGGTTTGGACCAGATGAGTTTGAAGCTGCTTCGTAATCAACGCTGAGACTCCTTCCGCTCCGCTCGTGCTCCAGCGCTTGTGCGCTTGGGGCGCGAGGGACGTTGAGCGCTTGTGCGCTTCAACGTCCGGGAGCGAGAAGGGTTTCGGTTTGTTTTTCATTCTTTGTTGATGACAGCGTCTCGGGAAAGCGATGTTTGGGTTTGCTTTGTTTCTTATGAGGTGCGCAGAAAGATCCTCAAGGCAAATCAGGTCGAAGGCCAGATCAGACTAGACATCGAGCCTGTCGAGAACACCCGTCGAGGCAGGGCTTCTGCATGTCGACTTGACCATTGTCTGTGAATGCAACCGGCCAGCAGGATTCAACCGGCCAGCAGGTTGCATTTGTGACGAGTGTCACACTCAACTGCATTCGGTTTGGACCAGATGTGTTTCAAAATGTTTCGTAATTCCAGTTTTTGAGGTCTTCCATTGCAAGGGATGGAAGTGACATGTGCCGCACTCAGCTGCATTCGGTTTGGACCAGATGTGTTTCAAAATGTTTCGTAATTTCAGTTTCTTGAGGTCTTCGATTGCAAGGGATTGATGTCACATGTGCCACGCTCAGCTGCATTCGGTTTGGAGCAAACGTGTTTCAAAATGTTTCGTAATTCCAGTTTCTTGGATCTTCGATTGCAAGGGGTTGATGTCACATGTGCCGCACTCAGCTGCCTTCGGTTTGCATCAGATGTCTTGTCCACATGTTTCGTTATTTCAGTTTCTTCAGGTCTTCGATTGCAAGGGATTGATGTCACATGTGCCGCACTCAGCTGCATTCGGTTTGGACCAGATGTGTTTGAAACTGCTCCGTAATCAACGCTGAGACTCCTTTCGCTCCGCTCGTGCTCCAGCGCTTGTGCGCGTGGGGCGCGGGGGACGTTGAGCGCTTGTGCGCTTCAACGTCCGGGAGCGAGAAGGGTTTCGGTTTGTTTTTCATTCTTTGTTGCTGACAGGCAGATCAGGTCGAAGGCCAGATCAGACTAGACATCGAGCCTGTCGAGAACACTCGTCGAGGCAGGGCTTCTGCATGTCGACTTGACCATTGTCTGTGGATGCAACCGGCCAGCAGGATTCAACCGGCCAGCAGCTTGCATTTGTGACGAGTGTCACACTCAACTGCATTCGGTTTGGACCAGATGTGTTTCAAAATGTTTCGTAATTGCAGTTTTTGAGGTCTTCCAGTGCAAGGGATGGAAGTGACATGTGCCGCACTCAGCTGCATTCGGTTTGGACCAGATGTGTTTCAAAATGTTTCGTAATTTCAGTTTCTTGAGGTCTTCGATTGCAAGGGATTGATGTCACATGTGCCACGCTCAGCTGCATTCGGTTTGGAGCAAGCGTGTTTCAAAATGTTTCGTAATTCCAGTTTCTTGGATCTTCGATTGCAAGGGGTTGATGTCACATGTGCCGCACTCAGCTGCCTTCGGTTTGCATCAGATGTCTTTCCACATGTTTGGTTATTTCAGTTTCTTCAGGTCTTCGATTGCAAGAGATTGATGTCACATGTGCCGCACTCAGCTGCATTCGGTTTGGACCAGATGAGTTTGAAACTGCTTCGTAATCAACGCTGAGACTCCTTCCGCTCCGCTCGTGCTCCAGCGCTTGTGCGCTTGGGGCGCGAGGGACGTTGAGCGCTTGTGCGCTTCAACGTCCTGGAGCGGGAAGGGTTTCGGTTTGTTTTTCATTCTTTGTTGCTGACAGCGTCTCGGGAAAGCCATGTTTGGGTTTGCTTTGTTTGTTATGCCATTGGAGGTGAAGAGAACGATCCTGAAGGCAGATCAGGTCGAAAGCCAGATCAGACTGGACATCGAGCCTGTCGAGAAGACGCGTCGAGGCAGGGCTTTTGCAAGTCAACTTGACCATCGTCTGTGGATGCAACCGGCCAGCAGGATGCAACCGGCCAGCAGGTTGCACTTGTGACGAGTGTCACACTCAACTGCATTCGGATTGGACCAGATGTGTTTCGAAATGTTTCGTAATTCCAGTTTTTGAGGTCTTCCTTCCATTGCAAGGGATGAAGTGACATGTGCCGCACTCAGCTGCATTCGGTTTGGACCAGATGTGTTTCAAAATGTTTCGTAATTTCAGTTTCTTGAGGTCTTCGATTGCAAGGGATTGATGTCACATGTGCCACGCTCAGCTGCATTCGGTTTGGAGCAAGCGTGTCTCAAAATGTTTCGTAATTCCAGTTTCTTGGATCTTCGATTGCAAGAGGTTGATGTCACATGTGCCGCACTCAGCTGCCTTCGGCTTGCATCAGATGTCTTTCCACATGTTTAATTTTTTCAGTTTGTTAGGTCTTCGATTGCAAGATATTGATGTCACATGTGCCGCACTCAGCTGCATTCGGTTTAAACCAGATGAGTTTGAAACTGCTCCGTAATCAACGCTGAGACTCCTTTCGCTCCGCTCGTGCTCCAGCGCTTGTGCGCTTGGGGCGCGGGGGACGTTGAGCGCTTGTGCGCTTCAACGTCCGGGAGCGAGAAGGGTTTCGGTTTGTTTTTCATTCTTTGTTGCTGACAGCGTCTCGGGAAAGCGATGTTTGGGTTTGCTTAGTTTCTTATGAGGTGCAGAGAAAGATCCTCAAGGCAGATCAGGTCGAAGACCAGATCAGACTAGACATCGAGCCTGTCGAGAACACTCGTCGAGGCAGAGCTTCTGCATGTCAACTTGACCATTGTGGCCGGATGCAACCGGCCAGCAGGATTCAACCGGCCAGCAGCTTGCATTTGTGGCGAGTGTCACACTCAACTGCATTCGGTTTGGACCAGATGTGTTTCAAAATGTTTCGTAATTGCAGTTTTTGAGGTCTTCCAGTGCAAGGGATGGAAGGGACATGTGCCGCACTCAGCTGCATTCGGTTTGAACCAGATGTGTTTCAAAATGTTTCGTAATTTCAGTTTCTTGAGGTCTTCGATTGCAAGGGATTGATGTCACATGTGCCACGCTCAGCTGCATTCGGTTTGGAGCAAGCGTGTTTCAAAATGTTTCGTAATTGCAGTTTCTTGGATCTTCGATTGCAAGGGGTTGATGTCACATGTGCCGCACTCAGCTGCCTTCGGCTTGCAGCAGAT